AAGACAACACCGCATTTGAGTCTGGAAGTGTTCATTGATTTACCGGCTCATTCAAAAAATTTATCCTGCACGCAAATAATTTCAGGCATCGCCACACTGGTAATCATCAAAATAAACACCACACTGAGAACTCCTCCCTCGAACGCAGCAATCCGGACCCAAACTGAGGTGGAAAAATCTGTTGTGTTGTTACAGCAGGCATATTTTCCACATTAAGAACGAGCTGTGCTTCGTTACAGGAAGTCTGGTCCTCCTATTCCTTAAGAATTGAATGTTTTCTTCTTCTTTAAGAGGTATTAAGTGTTTTTTTATGAGGTCAGTGCAATTACAGTGAGAAGCTGTGACTGTTTTTCCCCTGCATTAAGTAGTTTATAATTGCACATCTTTGAGATTTGAGTGCTTGAACTGTCGGAAAATAAAACTAATGAAATTAAAGATGCTTAATTGAGCAATTCCAGGTGTTTTCTGGGCTTGTAAGTTGTTTACAATATTCTCATCAAATCTACACCTATGTAAAGTTTCCTCAGCACAATCCAGACCACCTCCTTGTACACCCCACCCCCCACACACACACACCCTTCATCCTAAAGATGACCCCTCAATAGCTGTAACATTTTTTCTTCTCAGACACTTGATGAATGATCGTGAGAATATCTGTGTGGGAACTTACCCAGGAATTAGGAAGAACATTGATGGTTCTTTAAAAATAGATTACATCATGATCACCTATTATTCAAATAATTGAGGGATAAAGCACAGTAAGCTGGTCTCTGCTGTTTAATGATCAAAAGCTGCTTACCAAATAAATGGATGAAATATTTTATTCATTCATTTATTTTGTGTACAAAATTTGCAATACAGTTTCCAATATTTGACAGCACAATGTTTTGACTGACCAATCAGAATCAAGTATTTCAAGCAGCTGTGAAATATACGATGACACAAATAAGGTGTTTTATTTGTGATTTAATCTGATAGGAGCATACATGAAGGAGTTACATAAGAAGGCAGTGAGAGATCAGAGGCTACAGTGCTGGAGGGAATCTGATGTGGATCATATATTACTATGGGTGCCAGTCAGTAAATCATTGGAGCTGATATCCAGGAGCGTTTCTCTTAGCTGGCTCCCTCTCATTGATCTTTCCTCACGTCATGCATATAAAGCAGATATGTAACAGTGGGAGTTCACAGAATGTCTGTCATACATCTACAGCTCACTATAGTACCTCTGCCCTCAAGGACTCTGGGCATGCTTGTCAAATCAGCACTTATGTGATTGGATGAGAAATCTCCCGGCTCACATGGCAGCAGTATCTCACCTGCGTCATTCCACAAGTTATTCTCTTATCTGAGGTTCCCTGAAATGAAAGTCTCCGATCTGTCCCATCACTAACTCATGGAGACTCCACAGGAAGAGTCAAGTCTAGATGAATGCTGCAGATACGCAAAAGCACTTTACTCAAGTGCCCGTCCGACATATGTCACTGATATGACCTCAAGACATAGAAAGACGGAGCAGTGCAGTCAACATGGAGACCTCTGAGATTCTTTATCACACTCTATGGGTGGCTGGTCTCTTGTTCCTCTTCAAGGAAATCTCGAATGGTTTCATTCCCAGCCAGCTCTTATATCTGCTGTAAGTTTCTGAACTGCTTCTCTTATCTGAGGTTCCCTGAAATGAAAGTCTCCGATCTGTCCCATCACTAACTCATGGAGACTCCACAGGAAGAGTCAAGTCTAGATGAATGCTGCAGATACGCAAAAGCGCTTTACTCAAGTGCCCGTCCGACATATGTCACTGATATGACCTCAAGACATAGAAAGACGGAGCAGTGCAGTCAACATGGAGACCTCTGAGATTCTTTATCACACTCTATGGGTGGCTGGTCTCTTGTTACTCTTCAAGGAAATCTCAAATGGTTTCATTCCCAGCCAGCTCTTATATCTGCTGTAAGTTTCTGAACTGCTACATGAGACTGATTTGTGTCAAGTCACAGATGTGCTTTAATGTAACTGCGTGGTGTGCCATATGTTCCATGAACCCAGGCAGACAAAAGAGGTGGTCACATTTCAATGATTTATGCAAACACAAAGTGCCAAATGCAACATGAAGCCTATAAACACAATATAAATGCAAAGCTCTAATTTCTACTGAAACTTGTATATCATGTATTTAAAAATATTTGTAATCAAAATTTGTAATCTAGTTGCAAATTTGTACATTTAAAAATGTATTAACTTTAAATGTAATATCAAATAACACACTATAATTAAAATTATATTTTACACGTGCTTTTGTTTGTTAGTTAAAATAAGTGTATTTCTTTAAAGTGTGATAACATATTAAAAAACAATGATTTAAAATGTAGTAAAAGTAAAACTTTTAATTTGACATTATAATTTGCACATTTTATATGGAAGTACAGTTTTTTTTTAAATATACTTTTAATATTTAAAGTACAGTACAAGCGCTTATTTATTTGCTTGCTTGCTTACCAGCCATGATTGACAGCCAGTGAGCTGCTTGCCTTTCCATCGTATGGAAAAGAGCAACTTTTGCATTAAAATAAGCTCATTTTCTGGGAAAAAAAGTCATATGACCTTTGAGCAACTTGAGAGTAGATGATGACAGACTTCTCAGTTTAAAGCAAAATATACGTGACTGGATTGGACAGACCAAATTTCGACATGTGAATGGGTGCTTTCTGCATCACCAGTAATCACGCAAAATTAATTGTCAAAGATAAATCTTTTTTTTTTTGAATGTAGCATTCAGAATACACTTGGTGCAAAATCTGAGGGGGCATGTGCATCAGTTTGAATGGGCATGAGGCTTCGGTATAGAAAGTGAATAAAGATGGAGTGGAGATGGATACTCTGTTTGAGAATATCCATCTAAAGACTGTCCAGTGTCTGAATCAGTCTGACTGAAACTCACTGATAGAATTTGGAATTTCTCACTTTCAGCTTAAATGTCCAACTTCATTCTTAGTAGCTATCTGCTAAAACCACAAGGAATGCAGGTCTAACTTATGAGAGCCTGACTAAATTGTGGTGAAAGTGTGTGTGAGAGTACAGAGTTTGTGCAGAAGATCAGCTGAGATCTGTAAAGATATCTGAATATCTCAGAGGCTCTTATGTCTTTTGTTCCCTTTGTGCACATCCCAAATCTGTCAAATGTTTATCTTCACACCCACAGGGCGGATTATCACAGATTGTCTTTATGAATCTGAGAAAGGCTCTTTTTCACTAAACATTAATCTCTTTGTATTGCATGAAGGTTTTAATTTTGTTAGGTTCCTCAGAAGCCAAACAATGTTGATGGACGTTTATAATATTCAACATAAATAATTTTTATTAATCAGAGATACACATGCAAAGTGACCTGAGAGCAACAAGCATTTCCTATGACAAATATATACAAGTTCATGCTGTGAGGGGGATGAAGAAAAGAGAGCTTGTTACGTTTCATAGTGTGTCCCACGCTTCCCTCAATCTTGTTTTCTGTGTTTTTCCCAAGGAGGATCAAGAGCATCACTTTTCCTACTTTCTTCTATTTCTCTTCAAACTTTATGAGCGCTGGCTCATTCGCAAAGGTCTCTCATAGCCTAGGACTGGGTTATGGTGATGTCAGCTCCATTAATTATTGTCAATTAGAGGAACCTATCTTGTAAAGGCTTGTCAGTCTGCAAGTCCAAACCAAAGCCGCAGCAGAATTTCTGGCCAAAGTGCTTCAGCGGCCCTGCAAAATTTATAGGCAATATAAAAAGTATATAGAAAGTAGGCCCTGGTGGGATTTCCCTTTTTTATATGCAAAGCATCTCAGCCTTGGCATGCAAAAAAAGCACAATGTCATAAGACATGATCTGCCATGTTGAATAAATGTTGATATGTTAAACAGGAGAGTTAATAATGGACAGATAATCAAACACTATGTAATCTTATGATGTGTTAAGATAAATACTAGTGTCATTTGGAGGGGCCTGGGGCCACCGTCCACCTTGTTGCAGAAGTTGCTGGGGGTGCATTGTTAGTCTGAGAGGAGAGAGATCAGCAGATAACCTTTCCACTGTTCCCACTACACTTCATCAACTGACCAAAGGTGTTCAAGTTCTCATTCTTTTATTACGATGAAGTTCAAGGCTTCATCACCTATGTGTTATTCAATCAATCGTTCATTCATTCATATATGTAATGTATGTATATATGTATGTATGTATGTATATATTCTTTCGAATCTTGAGTAAATATTGAGTACATATTGATCTTAGCTTGGCTGGTTTTAAGAAGGTCTTTAATTCTGACTAGCTGAAAAGTGCCCAAAACGTCTCCAAAACTAGTCTTCAGTCTTCAGGCCAGCCTTAGACCAGTAAATCAGCTTAGGCTAGTTTATGATGTGCTTTCATTATGTATTTTACATGCTACATTATATATATATATGGATGTGTGTGACGTTGCTGTAATATATATATATATATATATATATTTTTTTATTTTTTATTTTATTTATATATGTATGTGTATGTATATATATATATCTATATGCCGTGCCTGTGAGGTGGATGGATTATCTCGGCAAAGGAGAAGTGCTCACTAACACAGATTTAGACAGATTTGTGAACAATATTTGAGAGAAATAGGCCTTTTGTGTACATAGAAAAAGTCTTAGATATTTGAGTTCAGCTCATGAAAAATGGGGGCAAAAACAAAAGTGTTGCGTTTATAATTCTGTTCAGTGTATATATATTTTTATATATGTATGTATGTATATATATATATATATATATATATATATATATGTGCGTGTGTATATGTATGTGTGTGACGTTACTGTAATATATATA